GAGCAAGAAATGGAACTGTTATTGTCCAGAAAAGCCTGCAGTAATGAATTTTTATACCCTTAAAAGAGGCACTTGGAGGAACTGGAGAACATCCAGAGAAAAGCAATTAGGGAAAAAAATTAATGCTAGGAGTTTTCAGAGGAGTTAAGGCTACTTAACCTAGAGGGGAAAATAAGTCTGAGAGGTTTCTACATTAATGAATTTAAATTATAAAGAAGGTGTTGAGCAGCTGTTCTCCAACTCTACAGAGCTCTGAACTAGAGAAAAAATAATCATGACAGGCAACATTAGCTCTATCAGTGAAATGTAACCCAAAAAAATCTTAACTCTAAGACTTGTTAGATAGTGAATGGTACCAAATCCACTTAGCATGCATCAAGGAATGAAACATAAATAATTGACTCTGAGTTTTATAATTTATATAGTATAATTTATAAATTTATAATTCTGCTCTAACGATGCCAACTGGACTTTATTCCTTCATTACTGACCAAAATTGTATCAGAACACAAAGAAGCATAGCCCTTTCCCAGGCTTCTCCCTCAATCTAGGGCATCCTCCATACCTCAGTTCTTTGCTCCGTAATCCATTGACTTGTAATCTCTTTATGGACAAAATATTCCTGTGACTTCTTGACTAGACTACAATTTCAGGAGCATATGCCTACATGTTCAAATGAAAGGTATGCAGAGAATTACCTGTAAATATCTGGCATGTGGGCATGTTTGAGTTTATGTTTCCACCAAACAGCTACAGGGGAAGTAGAGGGTCTTTGTTTTCTTCTTCCTGAAATACTAAAGAAGTTGAATATACTGTCTTCTATCTTTTTCAGCTTAATTCAAGTACTTTAAAAACTCATTCACCAATTCATACAGACCTGATATAATTAGTTTATTACTTTATAATATATTATAATGGATTGGTGAAAATGTCTTTAAGTGTTTCAGATTTATTCATTAATAAACTGAAAAGTACACCTGCTGATACTGCCAACACTGTGGAAAGGAGTATCAATATCTTTGTTCAAATTATGTAAGAAATTCTATTCTTATTTTAAAATACAAATAATTTTCAATTAACTGATGTTTATCAAATGTTTGCAAAGTGCTTATAGGAAATGATAGGGTCAGTACTACTTGAAATGTGAAGATGAGTAAGGCACAGTTCTTGCCCTCAGGTAGCTTATAGGCCCATAGAAGAAATTAAAAACATTCCAAATATATGCAGAGCTATACAAAACAAGAGTTTGATTAAAAACTCAGCACTGATAGAACTCAAACTTGGAAATGACTAGAATGGCTTAAGAGGTAAAATATGTTTGGAAGGGGAGGTTGTAGTGCCTCAAAAACTGCAAATTCCACAAGCATTACTATCTCCAGACTAGTTGGGTCCAGACATTCAAATTATGTCAGAATGTGTTGAGGGGTAACTCCTAGCAACTTTTGCCTAGGATTGGCTTAATTCTCTAGCAGGCTTTAGTATGTAGCAGCAAAATGATCATTGCTAATTTGCACTCATATACTAGAAGATTATCAACTTTAAAGATAAGCAATAAGCCTGGGCTCGTGGCATTAATGGTTGTATCCAATTAAAAAATATTAAATCCGTGTTAAGTATTAGATGGTGTTCCAGCCATTGAGGGTACTTTAGAGAAAAGACAATTCTCCTTCCATCTTCAAATTCATATCCTAGTGAGGAAAACATACATTAAACAGAGAAAATTAATTTAATGTAATTTTTTTTGACAGGTAGAGTGGACAGTGAGAGAGAGAGTGACAGAGAGAAAGGTCTTCCTTTGCCATTGGTTCACCCTCCAATGGCCGCCGTGGCTGGCGCGCTGCGGCCAGCGCACCGCACTGATCCGATGGCAGGAGCCAGGTACTTATCCTGGTCTCCCATGGGATGCAGGGCCCAAGCACTTGGGCCATCCTCCACTGCACTCCCTGGCCACAGCAGAGAGCTGGACTGGAAGAGGAGCAACCGGGACAGAATCCAGCGTCCTGACCAGGACTAGAACCCAGTGTGCCGGCACCGCAAGGCGGAGGATTAGCCTAGTGAGCTGCGGCGCCGGCCAATTTAATGTATTTTTGATAAAGATTATAGAGAAATCTACAGCACAGTAAAGCATAGAAAGTGATTTTCCTGTCCCGCTTTTGCAACCTATCCATCCTTGAAGTATGTGGTGGAACTGCATCAAGAGAAATACCACAATACTTCTCATCTATCCTAGGGTGGAATATGGAATAAATATCACTCCTAAGAATAACTCAAGATATTTTTGCCATAAAAAATATAGTTTCTCAACTGACAGAACTAACTGAAATCCACTGTGTTATGGAATTCAGTGTAAGATTTCCTAAGAGGAATAATGTAATTTAGGTGGATTAATAAAAATTTTATTGCCCTGTTTTGGATGCTATATATGAACTTGGCCATGACAGATGGTTAGCATATGAGACAAATATTAGGGGGGGCACCAAGTGTGAGAGTAAAAACACATTAAGCAGGGAAGTTTGGTGTTTTGTGATTGTTTATATAGTGATAGTGGTCACACGATTATAATTAAGGTGTGGTTACATTTGGAAAGGCTTTAAAATGTTCATTGGGGAGGCAAGAGAACTGATAACCACTTAGAGAGGTTAAATTTAGAGCAATGCACAGGATTGGCTCAAAGAAACAGCAGAGGAAGTAAACATATTGTTTGAGAACCTATTACAATGGTCCAAGTAAGGGATATGTGAGTCTGAATCATGACTGTCAGGATCCAGGAACATACAATCAAATGTAGTTTTGCATCCAGGTCATTGGGAGGAATGCCATTAACAGAGTATAGGAAGCAGGAATGAGGATTGAGTTGGACAAAGGGATTGGCAGAGAACTAACAACATTAGTTTATTGAGTTACATATTGTGAAAAAAACAAGGTATGGTATAGTTGATCTCGCCAACCTCCAAAGTTTAAATGTCCTAGAGATCTTTTCATTTCTAGCCACACCATGGCAGTCTCATGCAAGTCTCACAGCTTTAAATACTACCTTTCTGTTGGTGAGTCCAGATCACTGCCCCCAACCCCAGTAGCATACCCAGCTACCAAATCTATACCCCTCCTCAAGGGGCAGGTAGGTTTTTCAACTTCATTTCAAAAACTCAGATTTTGATCTTCCCTCCAACCTACTCTTACAGTCCTCATCTCAGCTGCTGGGAACTCCATTTTTCCAGTTATTGAGACTAAAAAATTCAGACTTGACCTTACTTATCTTTCTCTTACACAGAATATATATATAGTCCATTATCATAATCTGTCACCTATTGTATAACATGTTCTGGATATCTCATTTAAATTGAACTACACAATGTGGAATCTTTGTCTGTCTTATTACATTTAGAATAATGTTTGTTTTTAAGAATCAGGTAGCATATATCAGTATTTCATTTTTATGACTGGATAATATTTCATTACACTGATATAACACATTTTCTTTATCTGTTCATCTGTTGATAAAATTTGTTATTCCTACATCTTGGCTATTGAGATTAGTTCACTGTGAACACATGTACACATTTTTGTTTAAACTCTTCATTTCTTTTGAGAATACAACTTTAGATCATATGGTAACTACAAATTTTGAAGAATTTCAAAACTTCTTTCCCTGGTGGCTGCAATTTTACTTTCTCACTGTCAGTATACAAGTGTACTAATTTCTTCATGTATTTGCTAACACTAATTATTTTTCATTATATGTTACAACCATCCTGGTAACCTGCACTAGTGAAGTAGTATCTCATTGTGATTTTCAAATTTGCATTTCCTTAATAACTAATGATATTGAGTATCTTTTTATTTTCTTGTTGATCATTTGTATATTTCCTTTGGAGTGATATCCATTCAAATCCTTTACACATTTCTTAACTTACCTGTTTGAGTTTTTATTGTTGTGTTACAATAATATTTATGTATTCTGTACACTGAACCTTTATCTGACATGTGATCAGCAAATATTTTCCTATTATTTAAACCATCTTTTACTTTCTTAATACTATTCTCAGTTACATAATTTTTTAAAATTTTTGATGATGCCAAATTTATCTATTTCTCTTTAGTTGGTATTTTTGGTGTCATTTGTAAGAATTCATTGCCATGTCTAAGCTTATCAAGATTTTTTAAAGATTTATTTATTTATTAGAAAGGCAGAGTTACAGAGAGGTAGAGAGAGAGAGAGAGAGGGAGAGAGAAACTTTCACCTCCTGGTTCACTCCCCAAATGGCCACCACAGCCAGAGCTGGGCAGATTTAAAGCCAGGAGCCAGAAGCATCTTCCAGGTCCCCCAGGTGAGTGTAGGAGCCTAAGTACTTGGGCCATCCTCCCAACCTTCACTGTTTTCCCAGGCCGTGAACTGGGAGCTGGTCAGGAAGTCAAACAGCTGGGACTCAAACCGATGCTCATATGGGATGCCAGCACTGCAGACAGTAGCTTCACCTGCTTTGCCACAGCTCCAGCCTCAGTTATGAAGATTTATGTTTTCTTCAAACACTTTATAGTTTTAAGCCTTGATTTCAGTTGTATGAGTTAATTTTTATATATAATGTAGAGATAAGAATAGAGTATTTTGTAAATAAATAATATGTATCTCCTAGTAGAGAACAAGTTCCACCAGGACACAAAAGTATTTTATTTACTATTCTACTGCTGGTGTGACCAAGGGTGACTTGCATACAGTAGAAACACACTTTTCGTGAAATGCAAAAATTTATTGGTCTGAGTCTCCAAAAGAACGGTAGCTAAGATTATCTTATATTAATATTTTACTATTAATATCATTGCTTATCTCTGATAAAAAAAATGGATTGCACCACAGTTCTATAACAACATTTCATGACTTTCTAACTTATTATATATTTGTTCCATAATAAATTAGACAATTAAGTTTTCTTCAAGTTTCTTCTCTATAATTTGAATTAAACTCATAGAAGAACATTTGGAGTTTCCTTTTAAATAAACTAGCATCAAATTTTATAGTAATCACTTTGGACCATAAAGTTCCCTAGAAGGATCAACTAGTCAACAATTAAATCAAAAAACAAATATGTAACTTTGGAATTTCACCCTCTGCACTTTGTTTATTAACGAAGTCTATATTCGATACTATGCTGGGTGCTGGTTGGAAAAACAAAAGCGACTTAATCTTCAGATTATTGGTTTATATTAGGGAAGATAGACACAAAATGTTAAGATATTAATATTAGAAAGTAAAAAGGCACAGCCCAGTACACAAAGACACTGCTATTGAACAGCACAACACATGCAGAACTAAAGACTTGCCTGAGTCACAAGGTCTATCTCCTACAGACACTAAGGAGCACTTCCGTGTCTGATCTCTCCTTTTCTTGTTCTCCTAAGTCTCCTCAGACTTTGATCCCTTTCTGTTCATCAGGGTGCTGAGTATTCCTCAACTACGCTTGGGTCCATAGAGCTCATTCTCCAGAAAAAATATAAGGGTAGGCAAAAAGACTTCCATATTCTTCTGAAAGAGAGAAAAGCGTCTTTTGTCTTCTATTTTCTCTATTTTCCTAGCTGCAACAAAGAACTAACTCTACTATCTTGCCTGTGTATGGCCCAGGACCTCAAAAAATGGGTGAATTTGTGACTCTTTCCAGAATGTTGAGGTGAAATATCAGAAAGTTTCATTTTTCATAATTCAACACTTAGTACTAATAGTAAATGTTAGATCAAATAAATGTGAAATCAGAGTAAGTTATTTAGCCTGAACCAGAGCTGACAATCTTGACACAGTTCAAGAGAATCATACCTGTGGATCACAGTCTACAGCAGCCCTGAATCATTGGTTGATGCAATTTAAATATTTTGTGTGGCTAATCTTAGGAACACAATTGCTAGATTTTTTTTTTTATAAGCCAACAAGAAACAAAGATGAAACCAAAACCATACCAGATGGCTCCAAACTTTTTAAATTATTGGTAAAAGTTTAATCTTAGGTGGAAAACTCAAAAGTAATTTTTGTTGGTATTTGGTAAATAACTCACTGAGTAGGTGAAAAACCATTTAGGACTATACTTTCTCTTCAAAATGGAGAAATATAATACACTTAGAAAGCTAAATGGACTCAAGTTCGGAGCAATAAAACTGATCCCTCTTTAATTAGTGAAAGCACCGTGTACCTCAAATTCAAATGCACCTTGAAAATCGATCAATAAAAGGGAAAGAGCTCCAAATGCACAAAGTATTGAACTTCTGTGGTTGGCAATCTTCTTTATAATTAAGAAAACAAAAGCAGCACACAGGTTTTAATAAAACTAGATGGCCTCTAACTCTAAAGAATCTTGTTATCTTCTGAACTCAAAAATCATTTTACCTAAACTTCTCAGGTAGTTTGCTTTATAATTAGGTCCACATACATATTTTAAATGGAACACATGAATATACACACACATACATGCACTTTCAAACAACAAAGTAAGGTGGGAAGTTGCTTTCTTTAAAAGTTGTGCATAATTCTAGGCACCAGCACTGGGTGTTGGCATAGCTCTCTGCTATGGCCTGGAAAAGCTGTAGAAGAAGGCCCAAGTCCTTGGGCCCTTGCATCCCCGTGGGATACCTGGAAGAAGCTCCAGGTTCCTGGCTTCAGATCAGTGCAGCTCCAGCCATTGCAGCCATTTGGAGAGTACACCAGCAGATGGATGACCTCTCTCTCTCTGCACTTGGGAGGGAGATACCGGAGACTCTGCTCTGGTCCTAATTACCCATTGCTGATAAATATGAAGACAATTCAAAATCCAATTCCCTTTCAAGACATCTCTTTCCTTCCCAAATGGATCTGCTTGTGAGGAGAAAACAACCACCCGCCGTGTCATTGAAGAAGAGGCTTCCGTCCTTGTGCTCTGCTTCCATTTCTGTGTCCCATTCCACGGGCCCGTGGGGAGCCAACACCCTCTGTCCTCACTGGCCTCAATGCTGGAGTGATGGCAGATTCATTGACAGTCTGTTCTTTCCTTAGAGAAGGGAACTGTGATTTCTTCCAGAAAACTCACCCATGTCTTTGCTGCCCCAGAATCCTTTTCTCATTTGAGTTATCAACCTGCTGTGGTTTGACTAGGATTCCTATTTCATACAGCACCAACAGCTTCCTCTGCATTCTCCTACTGAATATACACTGGAGTAATTTTAAGTTTTTGATTAACACATAATACTTGCACACTTTCATGAAGCACAGGATAGTATTGAGATACATTCATGCAGCATAAAATCATCAAAACTTAAAATCAGCATCTCCACCTCCCGACCTTCCTCCATGCATGGGGTCTACCAGCTCCTCTCCTTCAGGTCTTTCGAGAGTGTAAAATCCCTTCCATCACACATGGAAAGAAGACTGATGACAGTCATCTTAGGCCTTTCTCTGCCTGAACATTGCATGCAGTCATTTCTGTTCTATTATGAGCAGGTAGTCAATGATGCCAGGTTGCAGGTGTGCAGTGAATAATGCCAGGAATACAACTGAAATAGACAATGATTTGACCAATACTCCCTAGAGCTGTGTCATGCACACAGATACACAGTGAACCATGATGACAGTCTTCCTCCTAAAGTTCATAAGAAGAAAGGAGACACAAAATCTCATGGCTTCTGGATCCTATTCCAAATGTACATTGCTTTCACCTATTACAACTTTCTTTTTTTTAACTTTCATTTAATGAATATGTGATTTTCTTTCTCAACAAATCTTAGTTTTTAGTATTTTTGTCTCCTAACACAACAAAATTACCTTTGCAACTTTAGCCTAAATAATGACTTCTTTGTTTTCTCTCAGTGGCCCATTTGTTCCAGGGACAGTAGAAGCATAAGGCAAAAAATACTGAAGGAAGATAAAAAATAAATATTTTTAAAATAATATATATGTAATTTTTAAAAGTATATAACATTAGACTTTGAACTTCTTAACAATAAGGTCCTAAGTGAATTCATTTTGGTATTTCTCAAATCACATACAAGAGACCCTTGATTAGCACTTGAGTGCATAGTACTGTGAATTAAAGAGCCATTTTATTTCTTTATCACGTTTAGACTTAGTAAAGACTGTGTTCAGAAAGAAGTTTCTTCTCCTCTAAATGCTTCAATGCCTTAATGTGTACACCAATAAGAGAAGTAATTGGGATGAAAAGGATCAGAAACTCCCTGTGAAATACAGAAAAGAAGATGTCCTGTGAAAGTTAATTTCATTTGTTAACTTGACTGGGCTAAAGGATGCTCGGATAGCCTGTAAAGCATTGTCTATGTCTGTGGATGACAATGTGTCCAGAACAGCCGATCAGTAGGCTGAACAAAGAAGATTTGGGGGCTGGCATTGTAGCCCAGTGGGTTAAACGTTCACTCACAATGCCAGCACCCCATATCAGAGTGCTGGTTCTAGTCCCAGCTGCTCCACTTCTGTTCCAGCTTCATGCTAACGTGCCTGCGAGGGCAGCAAATGATGGTCCAGGTACCTTGGCCACCACCTCCCTAGTGGGAGACCGGGATGGAGTTCCTGGCTCCTGGCTTCAGCCTGGCCCAGACCTAGTTGTTGTGGCTATTTGGAAAGTGAACCTGTGGATGGAAGATAACTTTCTCTGTCTCTCCCTCTTTCTTTTTTCTTCTTTTATTTAAAAAGAATAAGGTTTGCTCTCACCAGTGTGAATATGCATCATCCAAACTATTGATGACTCAAATAAAAGAGAGAGGTAGAAGAAGGGTGAATTTTCTTCCTCTCTTCTTGAGCTGGAACATCTATTTCCTCCTGCCCTCAAACACTGGAGATTCTAGTTTTGTTAGCCTTAAGACTAAAGGACTTACTCAAGTCCACAGCTCTCAGAACTTTGACACCTGGACTAAGAGTTAAGTCATTGCCTCCTCTTGTCTTCAAGTCTTGGGATTTACACTGAGTTACACCACTAGCCTGCAGATAGCATTGTGGGACTTCTCAGCCTTCTTAATTATATGAACCATTCTTATAACAAATCCTTTCTTACACATCTATACAAAGAGTCTTCATACAACTCAGAGGCATGTATTATCAAAAATTACTCAGAATTTCAAAATGTTTGCATCAGGGTAAACATGTTTTCATTCCATTTTTAGACAAATGTTTTGAAGTCCTTTTGTATTTTTCTATCAAATAAATTTTTCTAGAGAACTCTGACTAATATATATTCTTTTGGTGAAAATGTGCTGATTTCAGAAAACAAGCAGAACCGAAAAGTTAGAAAAAGGTCAAAAAATGGGGCCAGTGCTGTGGTGCAGTGGGTAAAGCCACCACCTGCAATGCCTGCATCCCATGTGGGGGCCAGTTCAAGTCCAGCTGCTCCTCTTTTGAACCAGCTCTCTGCTATAGCCTGGGAAAGCAGTGGAGGATGGCCCATGTCCTTGGGCGTCTGCACCAGCATGAGGGACCTAGAGGAAGCCCCTGGCTCCTGGCTTCAGATCGCGCTTTGACAGGTGTTGTGGCCAGTTGTGGAGTGAACCAATGGATGGAAGACCTCTCTCTCTCTCTCTGCCTCTCTTTCTTTCTCTATTTAGCTCTTTCAAATAAATAAATAAATATTAAAAAAAGAAAAAAGTCAGAAAGATAATTATTTGTTCTTCTGACCTTGATAGATCTCCAGATGGACCAGGTTTTTGCAATAGAGGAGCTATACTCAAGAAGCCTAGCAGAGATTCCCTTTTCTTTTCATCAAACACATGAAGCTTCTCTCTGCTTTAGGAGATTTACACATCCAGTTTTTGCATAGATCACTGCTACTTATCCTAAAGTTCTTCTCTCAAATGTCACCTCCTCACAAATCCTTCTCTCCTCACAAATCCTTCTCTAATCACTTGATATGTAAAATCTTGTCTCCTGACCCTAACCACAACATTCGTTTATATAACTCATTTTGATTTTTTTACATTTGCACTGCTTTTATACATACTTATTACTTGTTTGTATTTCAACTCTCCCAACCTCTACACATATCATTTACTATTCAAATAGCCTTGGCAACCTAAGCTGCCGATAACTCATTGTTTCATTATATAAAATAGGATCATTTTAGTGTCTGTCACAGAAGATTGATTAAAATGCTGACTGAGATAATACATGTAATACAATTAGGACAATACCATTTAGTATGGCACACAGTAAATTTGGACAACATTAGGTATTGTTACATGAAAGAATGAATGGATACACAACCGTTGAGGTATTTTCCAAAATTATTTCTAATAAATATTGTCTAAAATCTGTCTCTAACAAATATCTTTTTTATTGTCACTTTGAGTCTAGTCTACACAAAATGGTAAAATGTAAAGTTATTTCTTTTTCTAGAATTAAATAGAATTTTCTTCTGTAAAGCACAGGGTCTGAGAATCAATTCTTCACCCATTTCTTCTTTTGTCCCCCCATACCTTTTCTGGCTTCAAATGTTAATGGCTCTGTTAATGGCCATATATGTTATCCTCCTCAGAGGGCTTCCTAAGAATAATGAGTTAATGACAAGTTGGCTCACTTGATGGGAATTACAAAACTGGTTTCAAGAGACTCTGTTGAAGGAAGTTTTAGTAAATCCAGAAGGCCTTCTGGCTGCCCCTCAATTATAGCACATAGATGCCTGCTCATAAAGTCAGTTCTTGTTAAAATGAGTTCTGCTTGTTAAAATGATAAATTAATTCATGATAAACTGAAATCAATGCTTAATCTAAAATGCAACACAGGCTCTACACTAGTGACTTCATTCAAAATATAAAATGTTCCCAAAACATTAGACATTGACCTGGTAATTTAGAAAACAACTTACCTAGACCATCTGGTTTTATACAATTTAGTGCATCCTGATGACTTATAAAGATAGATAGAGAAGCAGTTATGGAGAATAATTTATGAAGCATATTTACAATCCTAAATCTGTTCATAAATGGGGGCCCTACAGATATTCTACTACACTAGGAAAAAAACCACTGCAGTCTCATGAATCCAACTTGATCTAGCAGAGCAGTGGGGAATCTAACATCTTGGTCTACATAGTATTCATGCATAGTGATGGAAAAGGAGTATAGAAACAGGGAGATGCTACCCCATGACTCTGGAGAAAGTGTCTACTCCCTCAAACTTGTGCCCATTCCCTCCTGCCACTCAGGGTGTCACTTCCTGCACCTGGGATCCCACATATATCAGGAGCCTCAGTCAGAGTTTCTGTGACTCCAGCCCAGTCTGCTCAGACCCTGCTTAATTCGTGCATTCTCTTGGTACTGTGCACAGTACCAAGCATTCAGTCTGCTTGCAGAGTTAAGTACTGCTTCTGCAGCTGTAGGGCTTCACATGGGCAGTGACTGAGGTCTGTGTGCCCTACTGAATCTGGAACCAGGTTGGGTCCTGAATTTGGGTCCTCATAAAGACAGCAATCAGGAGTCTTTACACCTGCCGATTTTGGTGTCTGCAGCTTCAGCTTAATACATAAGAGAAGGTGAGGATATGTGAGTCCTACCAATATTGACTCCGATGCAGGTCCTGTGGTTTTGGACTCTCAAATGGACAATTTCTCAAATGCATCCTGGTATGCATTCTCTGTCCAGTTTGGCCAGTCCTTAGGCTTCAGACACAATGTGGAGGTAGCAGTAGGTGGCTCTACATGCACCACCCATTCCATCACCAGCTCTGTCCTGCAGCTGCTGCCCCTTGAATAAACAGAGACTGGGGGAATAAACAACAGGAATCAAAGCACCCAATTGGGTCCCAGGAGTGCCCTAGATACCTTCCACTGTTACCACCCATTACATCAAAAGAAGGTAAAGGGAGACTACACTGCAGGTGTCCAGCTGGAGCCTGCCTAACATCAGAAGACACATCTTCAGAAACAGGGCTTCAACCCACAAAAGCTGCTCTTTAAAAATTGATAGAAACAACAGATCTGCCAGATGTGTAAAAATCAATGCAAAAACAAAAGAAGCATGAAAAAACAAGGCATATATGAGACCCCAAAAGGAACACAATGACTCCTTAATATCAGATGAAAAAGGGACTATTGAAAAAAATTCCTAATAAAGAATTGAGGAGAGTGATCAAAGAGATACAAGAGAATACAAACAGTGAAACAATATTAAGAAATAAGTGCATGATATGAAGTAGAATTTCAGCAGAGATGGAGATCTTGAAAAAGAGCCAGACAGAAATCGGAGATGAACTCAAGAAGTCAAATTAAAAAAAAAAAAAAAAGCCTCAACAATAGAGTAGATCAAGCAGAAAAAGAATGTCTTAACTTAAAAGTAAGACTTTTGACAATATCCTAGTCAGACAAAAAAGAAAAAGAAAAAAGAATGGCTTAAAAACAGGTGAAGCTAGATGTGGTTCGTTAATTGTGACAGATAGTAGTGTGAGATGTTAAAAGGGGAAATGAGGTGAGGGAGATATGGAAACTGTATCACTGCATCACAATTTTATCATAAATTTGAAGCTCTTCTGGAACAAAATAATAAAAAAATTAATAAAGACAACCTCTATGATCTTTGCAACATCATTGAACAAACTAATATTCACATAGTAAGAAATCCTGAATTATAGGAGAAGAATAAAAGCACAAAAAACCATTCAATGAAATGATCCCTGAAAACGTTCCCTAGAGAAATATATGACCATCCAAGTACAGGAGACCCACAGGACCCTAAATAGACCTGATTGGAAGAGATCTCACCATGACATAGGGATTATAGTAATAATCAAACCTTCAAAAGTAAAACACAAAGACAGAATTCTAAAGTTGTGAGAGAGAAGCACCAGGTCACTTTTAAAGGAATTCTCCCCAGATGAACAGCATATTTTTTAACAAAGCCATACGGACAAGGAGAAAA